TCACTTCTCACTCCTCCTCTTGCGCTTTGCTCCGACGCTTGTTTTTTTTATATACCGCATTTTTATGTGTAAGTCCGCTTTTTACTTGGTCTTTGTTCCGATGCTTGTTTTCTGTGTTTAATGTTTTACATTCAAGTGGGTTAGGGTTACAAGCAAGCTAGCGAATGCCCGCTCATTTCCTTTGACTTTAGTCTCTACATACCTTGTTTCACCTTGCGATGAACCGCTGTGGACACTTCGAGTCGCCCCAGGCAATCCAGCACCGTGAGCATAGTAAGATCAGCCCTTCTTTGAGGCATTTAGCTTTCTTTTTTTGCAATTGTCTATGCGTTTGACAATGTCAGCTTTATGCTGCTTATGCCGACTATCATGTGAAGTGTGAAGTGCCAATTTTTACGTTTAGGAATTAGAGGAATGGAATGGAACGATTCAGCCTTTCCAGGATTGGAAATGGGCCCGTTGTCCCCAATCCTAGGAGTTGAAAGGAATTGAATTATCGAAAACTATAATTCCCGGAATGGAATTGGAATGGAATGGGGGTGCCCATTCCGCAACACTGGCTTTTATTCCCGACCGTGAAGAGCCAAAATCCCCCATGTCCGACAGCACGCGCTTATCTACATCTTGCTTGATGCACGCTGGCGCCATCTCTAAGGCCTCAAGAACACAATACCAGGGTGGCGACTTGTACAGTATAAATAAGCCAATGAACGCAATGCAGTGAAACTCACAACAAAGGTGTGTTTGGTTGGTGAATTTGTCAGACTCAAATTTGATGAGTGTGGGTTGGCAGGAAAAAATGCAAGAAAAGGAAAACTTGCTATTTCCGATGCGCAGGAGGAAAACAGAAGCAAACTGTCTGGATGACACTGCTTTTCACATATGGTGCAACACATCTCGCACCTAAAACCGATTGACGTTGTCAATGTCACCATATTGGCCGTGTCACAGAGCAGACAAGCTATTTTCTCGACGCCTGAGGCAGTTGTAGTGGCCGCATTACACCCGTGGCCGAAGCTCCTCCATCAGTTTATGCCTTGCTGCATGTCCTCTAACCGCCTTCGAACATATTGTGAGTACGCTCAAGCTTTCAAGACAGCTGTCCAAACAAAACAAAATCTTGCTAAGTACATGCGAGCTGCAAGCTGTGCTTTTTATGCAATCTGAGGAAAGTGAGAGAAATATGTGCCGGTTTGGACTGCACCTTAGCACAAGAACATGACACTCTTCACTTGCGCACACTGCCCAGATCCCAGCAAAGGAATAAATGAAAAACAAACAAAACAAAAAAAACTCGGGGACAAATTTTATTTGTCTTCGAAATTGCACCGACTCCGTGCCCACCACCGAGGTGCGATGCACACCGTTTCGGGACAGTTCCGGTGCAAGATGGTCAGAGAGGCCAGAAGATGATGAATACAATCGCAAAGAGCATGAGCTGAGGTTGGCGGACCGTGGGGGGCCGTCGATACATGTTGCGCAACCTCGAGGCCGATAAAACTTTGGAGTGGAGAGGGGGCTGCCAGAATGTGCACTTTTGCAGGTGTGCACACCCTCACCGCTTCCCCTCTCTGCTATACTGTTTCATCGCCCTCCAATTAGTGCAGAATATATCGAAGGCCACGCGCTAAAGCATTCATGCCCACAGTATTCAGAACAGTAAAAGGTAGTGAAAAGTGTAATTAAGTCAAAGAGTAGCAAACACTCTGAATGAAAAAAATTTGCAAGAAACAAAAATACAACCAAAGCCTTTTAAACACAATATCTTAAGAAGAGTATTTGAGATAGGCAAAAGCTTGGGTGAAGCAAACTAACCGTACTACGCCGTAACCTCAAACTTGCTACACCCTCGGTAAAACGACTACCTAGCGTATAGAATATGCCTGCTCTATATGGTCTCCATGGCAGTTATACCTCACAAGTCATGTAAAATTCATTCAAAACAAAGCCATTCGTGTTATTTCTAACTACTCAACATATATCGAAAATCAGGATTAGTACGCCAATCGACTAACCTTTATTCACTTTCCCTCCGCCGCCGAGTGTCACGCCCGTCTCACCTTCATTGAATTTTCTATCACAATACCCACTTCAGAAAATCATTGCTATCGCCTCCCCACCGCATTTGTTCTTGTTTAGATCATAGAGTTATTATAATGTACGCTAGAGGTTCAACTGGCGCTAGTGTCTATGCGACTTCCGGGAGGCAAATTGAAGCAGACAGCAACCAGTCTACTTTTGCGGTGCCCCTGTGCATTCCTATGGGAAAACGCGAGCGCATTTTGTCTCTTCGCCGGAAAATAACAAGAATAACTTTTATTATTTCAATTGTAGCGGATAGTATGTACCTTTATTAATATTATAAAAGTGTAATTGCTTTAATTACAGCATTTTTCTTTACAAATGAACGATGTTACGCTTCGCTATATTTCAGGCCCAAACCTCTGTTCCATGGCAGGTATGTAAAAACGAGCGACGATTCTGAGCTAAATAACAATCGAAAGGAATGTAGAGTGTGTTCAAGGTTCGCTAGCATCTCGGTGGCGCTTGTGTATTGCTAATACGCCCGTCCTGTCACTCTATGAATATGACTCCACCGTGCATTACGATCGGTCAAAGAACATTCGAATGTAAAAAAAATAAAGTATGTGGGCTACGAAAGGTGTGTCTTTTTATTATTTCCTATGTCAGGCAGTCTTTATCGGGCACCTGTTCTCTGACTTCTCCCTATTTGTAAAGATTTGGAGGGTGCGGTTGATGATTTGAACCTAGAACATGCATCTTCGCACAAATTCGAGAGCAGAAAGAATAAAGGAGTACTTATTTATTGGAAATCGGACTATATTACGTGGATTTCAATTTATTTTGATCGCGTGCATGCACAAGGAGTTACTTATCCAGTGTTACTGCGTAGTTTTTGCCGTCTCGGTTTTGCACACGTCCTTCTTTCGTTTGACACGTATATCCCCAATGGTGGAAAGCGCCGACGCCGTGTTCGCGCTAACAGTGTCTGACAGTGCACATAAATACACGTACGAAGCGGTTTTAACACCGTTTTTCATGCCACGAATTTCAAATAAAACGCCGAAACTGACAAATTATTTTGTCTGCGTTGCTGAGAAATGTTCCTATGTGCCTAGTACGAGCGAATTATTCGTGATATTTGCCCTTATAATCGAGCGTAGAGAGAAAATGCAGTCGCTTTTTCCCATAGAAATGCATTACCGGAAGCCAATTTCGGACTGGTTGCTGTCTGCTTCAATGGACCTTTTTCCAGTAAGCGTCTGCGCACGCGCACACCCTTTTCCCTTGACCTTGACAGCCCTTTCGCCATTTTTGGGGGGCTCAGTTTTCTTGCGACACTAATCTGTTCCTATGGGAGAAGGCGAGTCCGGTTGCCCTCCATTTGTAGTTGGCGGCGAAACCGTCATGAGACACTCCTTACTGGAAAAAGGTCCATTTGCAGCAGCACACTAGCGCCGTTTGAACCTCTAGCGTACATTATAATAACTCTATGGTTTAGATCACCCATGTAAATTACATTCAATTTGATCATCAACTATACCTCACCAGACTTCCACACTACTATTAGCCATTGAGGATTGAGACTCAGCGTCTCACAACATTGTTTGTATAAATGATACTTCTAAACTTGTTGAGTCCATTACCCTCTATCTCATCATCATAATTTATTAAACCTTGAAGGCCCTTACGGACATTACACAAGGGGGGGTACCTGCTGAAAAAAACATCATATAAAGGAACAAACAAGAAGTGGGTTACATGCTGGAGAACATTGTTATATAAAGCAACAAAAACAGGAATTAACTTAGTAACTAGCTTACAGCGTTATATTTGTGTTTACTGCACTTTTTGTTTTATTGCCACCCCCCTGTATACACGTTTGCCAATATAGCGATATAGCCAATATGTCGTTCGTTGTAAAAAGTGCTTTATACATGCATTTTGATATAAAGCTTCCGTGAGTTTGATATCGACAATAATTTGCTGTACGTGGGTTCGTTCTAAACGGGTTTCACTGTATACATGGTATTCCAAGGTAAACATAAACAAGTAATGGCGGAACTTCCTGTGGCGGAGATAACTTCTGGCTGACCAGCTTCCTGTGTGTGTTTCAATGAGCAAAGATGAGCAACTTTTCTTTTAAGCTTTCCTTGGCGGAAAATCAGAAAAGGCATGTCAAAAACTGGATGCAAGATAAATCAATCTGTTTCTGGACCATACGGCACCAAGAAAAAGCACCACATCTCATTTTATTTAGCCTCCATGATGAAAGTTATGTGGTCCTACCTGACGTCCCGGTAGAAACTTGTGTACACGATAGATATTCAACGAAGTTAGACGCCCACAAATCAACCGAGACATGTAATTCTTTCGTGCTTTTTGTGCATAGGAAAGCATGCGCGAGAACAAGATCGCTTCGTCAAGTGCGCGTTGTCGCCGTAACTGTTCGAGCTGGCAAAAATCTAAACTACACTACACATGCAAGACGTATATGAAGGTGAGTGCAAAAGATTATGCCGCTCGTGCTCGATCGTGCCCCGGAAAAGACGAGCGGTGTTTTCCATAATTACCGGAGATATCTTGATTGTCGGAACGCCTTCCTACTGCGGCGATCCAGTGAATCATAATCACATAGATACAGTTGCAGACAAAGACGTCAAAAGGATATTTTAGATTATAGAACCCTAATGATAAGGTAAGAAAACAAGTAGCAACTTTCCATACAAATTGCAACTTTCGCCATCAGCACGTAGGCTCTAAATGAAAATTGACACAACTTGCATAAGAACTGAGCCCATTCTATTCCCACCCCATTAGGGGCAAAAGGCATATAATTCCATTCCCATTCCATTTCGGGGTTGTGAAAGTGCGGAATCACTCCAGGATCATTCCAACTCCAAAGTGGCAATTCTGCAACACTGCTAGACACTGCCAATGTCACCTGTTAATGAGAGAGGTTGAAATGAAAAACTTACCACGATTTGAGGACTGGATCGGTTCCATTCGAATTGCTGTCAGCGGTCAGGTTTGCAGGTAGGCTCGTAAGATCACGAAGGCTGCACGGGATCACTTGAGATAACTAGGACCAAATGCAAAGGGCAATGACATTAATTAAGAAGAATGTGAGCACACCCTCCAGGCATATAAAGCTAGCCAGACAACTATAAAGATAACACAAATGAGACACACCCAGAACTTCGTTACCTTATCCATGCAAGCAAATAATGTTATTGATGCAAGCAAACGATTAACACGGTACAACCATGGCAAGCTTTACAAGGAAGACGTCGCTCATAATAACTACTTTAAATTCTATTTTTTTCCCTGAACCATTAACGAATAGTACCACCTGCCTCAAAATATTGTTAATTCCTCTTCTATTAAAATCTTCCTTGATTATGTAGATGCCAACATTTCATTATAAACTAATATTTTATGCTGTTTTTAAAAGTGCAGTGTATCTATTGTATTCAAGTTGTTTACTAATTCTTCATTCTTGACTTCTATATTTGCGTTGAATATTGACCTGCACATTGTGTGTTGAGAATTGTTTTCTGCTTGTAATATTTCAAACTGTACCACTCTACAATAACCCCCCATTGGGGCCAGTAGTATTGGAAATAAATAAAATAAATAAATAAAATAAAACTTCAAGATAACAATAACGAATGAATGAGGAAATGGAATGCTTGTGTGCCTAGCAAATGTGGAGAGCAAGTTCGTCTCCTTCCCGAGCAGGGGTTTCAGTGATGTCAGAACGCCGATCTCTGATTGGCTCCGATAGGAAGGATGGTGGGTAGACCTCAAAGCAGCTAGCATTGAGGACAACCCCCCATCCCTCCGTCAGAGCCAATCAGAAGTCGACATTCTTACAGCAGTGTAACCCCTGTGCTAGAAGCAGACGAACTTGCGCTCCACATTGGCGGTAGCTTGCGACATGAATTTAGAAAGTGTGCTAACATAATCAGTTTTCTTCTCTTTCTCTGCCAGATTGCCAGTACAATAAAGTCCAATCAATAAAGTGGTTAAGACTCAAAAAAGGTCAAATACAAGATAACCATGCCGCTTTAATGCGTCTACATGTTTGCCCCGTAATTTTGCTAAACTTGTTTCGTAAAAAGCGGTTTAGTATTGTGGATATATTCGATTGAACAGTGGGACCTTCGGATCCACCTATTCAGGAAGGCTGCCATGTACCTCTTTACACGAAACATTTCAAGCGTTGCTAATTGCTCAACATAACAAACATTCAGATGCCGGCCGTCTCTGCGGATACTTTAACAAATCCCTTCAAATAGAGTGGTTGAGAAAATTAGACTCTTTCCGAAAAAAAAAAAAAGACTGCCAGCCCCAGTGGATGTTAGGGATTACAAAAACGCACTAATTAGTGAGATAAATACCTAAAATGTACTAAAAAACTTTATTAATGAAAATAAACATATGGTTTCATATGTTTTTATGAAACCAACCGGTGGCTGGCAGTTTGTTCTTGAAAAGAGTTTCTCGATATTTCAACGACACTATTTGAAAGGATTTTTCAAAATATTTGCAGAAACAACCGGTATGGTCTGCAATAGAGCGATAAACATCGGAGGAAGCTGAATCTGCATCACTGCACCAGGTCTCGCACCAGCAGAGGAAAAAAGAGGGATATGATACAGCGCACCCGTAAGTACTAAACGTACGGCCTGATTGTTGCAGCTACTGACTGTGGAATTGCACATTACTCGCACATGACATCACTGCACTCTGCCGGCAATTCCCCTGCTTGAACTTACCGAGGAAAACAAATTTGGTTGTGGGAAATGAGTACTGCAGAAGGTATGTGCTCAGCAGCTAGGCTATTCGCTGTTTGGGCATAAAAAATGTGTACAGGTTTGTTACTAGTGACGTAAAAGAATTTTGCAAGATTATTTTGGTATAGCTATTTCTTAAATTTTCTTGACACCTTAAATTTTCGGAAAAATAGTCTAAGGTACCGTGGCCGAATTCAAAAGACTTAAAGCATATATGCACAGCTGCAAAAATTTTGCGTTTTACCCTAATAAATAAAAAGCAAAGTGTTTTTTTGTTTTTTTTCAGAAAGGTTTGAAACGACATTGTGAAATAAACACTGTTCTTAGCAGGTCACTACAATCTTTTAAATCATCCAACAGGTTTTGTCATGCCTTTCCGAGTGTTTTTTATGGGCGCAGATGCGTTAAAAATGTTTTAAAAAGCGGAAAATCACCTTTTATTTAAAAAAAACTATAATATTGTGGCGGCACGTGCCCTTTGCCAAAACAACATTCGCCGAAGCTCCTGCAGGCCTCGGGGATCGACAAGTGAAGACGAGAAAAAGGAGGGATCCGAGCTCGGTGGATGCGCGAGGATCGAAGGAACAGGCAGAAGGCGCGAGACATCACCTTCGATTCCTGCTGACCGACGGACGTCCACGTTCTTTGTCTAGTTAGAATGGTATGGTTTTAAGTAAATGTTTTAATAACGTTCCTGCTTGTCTGGGTTATTACCCGTCGTGCACGCGAGCCCAATAGGAACGCAACAATATTAAGACATAAAGCTTACCGTAGAATACCGCGGATCCGCCTATACCACACTAAGCGCCCATTCCCAAGTTTCTAAGATCTGAAAAAATATGCAGAGTACATTGATATGTAAAATTGATGACTGAACAAGCGCCCATCCCCAATTTTTTTTTTTTTTTGCGATTACCACTTAATCTAGAGTGGGCGCTTGCCAGGTGTTTTACGAAATGTATTTTAGTAGGTAGGGAAACAAGGTATGCATATATGAAACATATTTTAATAAAACAAAAACATGGGACCATATTTTCTAAAATAAATTGACAATATTGAACATACAACAAAATACTCAGTTTCGTAACTATAAAGCTTATAAATGTAATATGTCTCAAAATATTTCTGTAGACGACCAACTGGTGCGATGACTTAATTTTCGCGACTTGAAAAATATCGCGAAAAATAAAAACCTTTTAATATGTCTCCTTATGCTAACAAGCACAAAGCATACGCCCCTTATTGTAAAATTTGCTACCTGCCATACATTCTTGAAATCGACACTTTGCCAAATTCACGAATATTAGCCCACAAAAACAATCCTCTACAGTACTCAACGGTTGTAAGTAGTGTAGAGGTCACGTAACACAAGGTACATACAGCTGTGAAGTATGTAGTTTTAGACCAAACACCTTTTGATTCTCGCTTTGAAAACTGAGCAGTATATTGCAATATTTTCAATACTGGCAATAGACTAAAGTAAAAATTTATTTTTTGCTTTTAAAAAATAATTTGCTTTTTTAAAAAATAAAAACTTCGTGCATTGTATTAACCCTAGACCATCTATAACCAATAGGAATAGAAACCTTTAGCAACCCGTCACCGTGTTCTGCGTACTGCACCACTGGAGCCCGGTAGTGATGTATGTGAAGAGTTTCTGAAGTTCTTTTGCAAAGCTTAGCACCGACATTTGAAGACATTTGTCAGCGGAAAATTTAACTCGGCGGGCCCGGTCATGACGTCGTCTGCGAATGCCTCGACAGACAACCCAACACAGTTTTTTCCTTTTTATGTTTTGAACAAGGTAAGCTATCTGTTCATATTTTCGCCCCATGTCTCCACGGTTGCACCACTGCAGTAAATTGCGGCGCGGAACGTTGAAAAACCGATTTTTGAAGGCCATCTAAACTGCCTTAGAAGCATTAGGCCTGCTTCAGACATGGCAACTTTAACGGCAATTTCGGTGTTGCTGGCAAGTCGTTCCCTAGCTTTCTCTAGTGCGACACAAATTGCTCGGATCGCATCTGGCTCGAAACGGACGAGCAGCTCGGACAACTCGGAGACGTTTGAAGCGGTAGCAGCCAATCAGGGACGCAATATTGTCATGCAACACGTCGTGCCAGCGGTGATGTCAGTTTTTGGGAATAAACCATTTCAGAAAAATTTAAGTATTCCCAATGCTATTCACAAGTATATAGACATGTTTATAGCATGCAACCATCTGTCTAAATAATGAGAGAAAGATCAAATTTAATGACGATGGTAAATTGAAGCAATTGGTTGCTCCGTGTAAACACAAGGGGGCCAGTATTGCTGGTGCCGCAACGTTAAGTGTCTGGGAGAAATAGAGTTTTTCGGAATATCCCAGGAAACCTTGCAATGAGGGGAATTGTGGGGCTGTTTGGATATTTTGCGGCACGATTCATTGTTTCCTATCATTTGGAGCTCAGAACACACAAAAAAAAAATTAAGCGACCAGAAAGAAAGGGTATCACAGACTGTTTTGCTTTCCTTCTGCATCACTTTGTGCTCGCTTCTATAATATCATGTGCCATACATCTGAACGTCTGCATAAAGCAGACACTGGGGGCACCACATATTTCCGGAAAGGTCTATTGTCCCGTCTGAATAGGGCCCTAGTGCACATGCAGTATATGCACACAGAAAAGAAAAATTGTGGCCCAATGGCACAAGTAACGCCATTAGACCACGAGATGGCGTTACTTGTGCCAAAATCGGAGGCGGCGCGTGCGCGGCGCAAACCCAGCGAACAGGGTTGCCAGGTTGGGCTATAAATAGCCAAATTGGGCTAGTTTTATTTGCAGTTGGCGGGAAAAAATGGTAGTTGGCTATTTGGCTAGTATTGGGCTATTTCTAACCTGTGCATTGGGCTATTTCTGACATGTGCATTGGGCAATTTCTCACCTGTGCTGGAACCAAAATGCCTGAAAGCACTTGGGTTTATAGGTTCGAATGTATTTTTAGAGTAAGTTATGTGAACATTTGGCGCTTCAGTTCCTTAACCCTGATAAGTTTGCGACAGCAAACAAATTCGTCTTCTTTTTGCGCGCCTTGTGCAATTGTTTACCTCTGAATTTTGTCCGAATGCACGCATGTGCTGTTATTCTTCCATCTTAACAAGTGACGGCGCGATTCCTAGCGGCCTTAACAGCACCTGTTCTGCGCATTCTTTAGGTTGTCTTAATTCTGCATAGTTCTCCCGCGACGCCATTCTGGTCACCATGCCCCTATAGACCTTTTTCACAAGGGCGCCGCCATCTTGAAATATCGGCCCTTCCAGTATGGGCGAAAACATTGTTTTGCCGTCGCAACGCCAATAGAATGCATTTAGGAGATTAGCGTAACCGTCGCCCATTCTCGTTTTGTCTCCCCTCTATTTTTTTTTACTATTTGCAGGTTGAAACGTTTTAATATTTTTTTCGTCGTCCATACCGGATATGCATACTAGGCGGTAGGGCTAATACAATACAGTGGCAGGTATGTTGTCATGCGCTTGTACGAGCGTTTCAGGAAGTTCGCCGAACGTGCAAGGGACGCCCTTTGTGGGGCATTTGATGGATAAAAATGTATCATGCGTCTTTTCTGCTCAAAATAAACGCTTCAAATGATAAGTTTTTCTGGGCTATTTTTCTGGATCGACATTTGGCTATTTTTGGGCTATATCTCGTAGACGTTTGGCGGGTTGGAGTTCAAACACCTGGCAACCTTGCCAGCGAAAGAGGACACTCTCGCTCGGGCAGCGGACAAGAGCGGCCGTGCGGGATGTGCCGAGATTAACGGCACCAAAAGAACGTCGTCAAAGAGCGCGATTGTCTTCGGAGATTCGCTAAAACCGGCATCGGCGCTTGGGCTTTCTTCGCCTTCAAGCCGTCTTAGGGATACCATACGAGACCGTGGGAATTTTTTAAAGTTTTGATCGGATTGTTTTTTGCGCAAAACAGTAAAGCGAGCGCGCCCTCTGTTTACGGCTTCAAGTGATCCTATTCATGGGCACCGCGAAAATAAAAACAAAGCGCGAAAAGCCGACGTTGCAGAAGTCAAGCCACAGCGTGAGCAGGACCTCCCGAAATTGATTTAAATCGCCAAACGCACCTATCGATTCAGACCAATCAGACTTGAGACAGTACCTGTTTGCTGAAGAAGTCGAGAAGTCTCCGAACGTGAAGCCGACTTCGTTGAGTTCACTTTCGCAGGCGGACCGACGCCTTCAGTTCACTACCGAAAATTTGTGGCGGGTTTCCGACATTTTTGTGATTTGCAAACCTAAACGAGTGGTGGATCAATGAACACAGCAGAAGCAGAAGCCTCTGAATCTGGCGGCAACTCGCGCCACCTCACGACATCTACGTAAAGGAACGCGCCTGCAACGTTTCTTTGGGAGCGACTACCCTGATCAAAAGGGTTTTGGTGCTACTGAAAACTGCATAGCTGCGGAACGTTTCATTGCGGCGCCTTTCGCGCCGAACGCATAAACTCGTAAATAAAAATAATCAATTTTCCCTTACTCAACTTACGCCACCGGTCAGATAGCCTTTGCTGGTCCCCCCCCCCCCCCCCCCCCCCCCCAACCCCTTTTCTGAAAGTCTACAGGTTTTCCCGCTCATTTTAATCCAAGCGACGACCAATTTAATCCCGGGGTCACTCAATTTAATCCAAGCGCCATGCAATTTAATCCAAGCGCCACACAATTTAATCCCGGGGTCAGTCAATTTAATCCACAATATATATATATATATATATATATGCACTCATTGGGGGTGTTCAGTGGTCGTGTTTCGCTTACACATCTGGTAACTTAGAATAATTGTTTATACAATTAGAATTTTTGGGGGGCAATTGAGAATTTGATCACTAATGTGATTACTTTGAGTTACTAGTCCCACTATTGACGAGGCTTAACTGATATGTTGGTTGCTCTTTTTAGAGCGCAGCTCTTAGGCACCCGTTTCCGGCTTAAGCGGCGTCGGCGTAACCACGCGGTGAATGATGGGTAAATTCCCCCGCTAAATTTAGCGGAAAAATTTCCCCGCTAAATCTAGCGGAAAACTTTTCCTGCTAAATCTATCGAAAAATTTTCCCAGCTAGATGTAACGAAAAATTTGCCCCGCAGATTCTAGTGGAAAATTTTCCCCGCTAAGTCTAGCAGAAATGTATCCCCGCGAAATCTAGTGTAAAATTTTTCCCGCTAAATTTGGCGGAAACTTCTTTTTCCCGCTAAACCTAGCGGAATGTTTTCGCCGCTAAATCTAGCGGAAAATTTTCCCAGCTAGATTTAGCGAAAAATTTGCCCCGCAAAGCCTAGCGGAAACGTTTCCCCACTAAATCTAGTGGAAAATTTTTCCCGCTAAATCTAGCGGAAAATTTTCCCCGCTAAATCTAGCGGAACAATTTACCAGCTAGATTTAGCGGAAAAGTTTCCCCGCTAAGCCTTGCGGGAAATTTTCCCAGCTAAATCTAGTGTAAATATTTTCCCACTAAATTTAGCGGAAAAATTTTTCCCGCTAAATCTAGCGGAAAGTTTTCCCCGCTAAATCTAGCGGAAAACTTTCCCAGCTAGATTTAGCGAAAAATTTGCCCAGCAAAGTCTAGCGGAAAAGATTTCTCGCTAAATCTAGTAGAAAAAGTTTCCCGCTAACCCTAGCGGAATATTTTCCCCGCTAAATCTAGCGGAAAAATTTCCCAGCTAGATTTAGCGGACAGTTTTCCCCGCTAAGCCTAGCGGAAAATTTGCCCCGCTAAATCTAGTGTAAAATGTTTCCACTACAATTAGCGGGAAAATTTTCCCGCTAAATCTAGCGGAAAGTTTTCCCCGCTAAATCTAGCGGAAAAATTTCCCAGCAAGATTTAGCGGAAAATTTGCCCCGCCAAGTCTAGCGGAAAAGTCTCCCCGCTTAATCTAGTGGAAAAGTTTTCCCGCTAAATCTAGCGAAAATGTTTCCCCGCTAAATCTAGCGGAACATATTCCCAGCTAGATTTAGCGGAAAATTTTTCCCGCTAAGTCTTGCGGAAAATTTTCCCCGCTAGATCTAGTGTAAAATTTTTCCCACCAAATTTAGCGGAAAATTTTTCCCGCTAAATCTAGCGTACAGCTTTCCCCGCTAAATCTAGCGGAAAATTCTAGATTTAGCGGAAAATTTGCCCCGCCAAGTCTAGCGGAAAAGTTTCCCCGCTTAATCTAGTGGAAAATTTTTCCCGCTAAATCTAGCGGAAAAATTTCCCCGCTAAATCTAGTGTAAAATTTTTCCCACTAAATTTAGCGGAAATTTTTTCCCGCTAAATCTAACATAAAGTTTTCTCCGCTAAATCTAGCAGAAAATGTCCCCACTAGATTTAGCGGGGAAAATTTTTCGCTTAATTCAGCGGGGAAAATTTTTCTGCTAGATTTAGCGGGGAACATTTTCTGCTAAAGTTAGCGGGGAAACTTCTCCGCTAGATTTAGTGGGGAAACTTTTCCGAAAATTTTAGCGAGGAAATTTTTCCGCTAAACAGCGAGGAAAATTTCCCGCTAAATTTAGCAGGAAACATTTTCCGCTAAATTTAGCGGGGACATATTTCCGCTAAATTTAGCGGAGAAAAGTTTCCGCTAGACATAGCGGGGAAAATTTTCCTCTAGGCTTAGCGGGGCAAATTTTCCGCTAAATCTAGCTGGGAAGATTTTCCGCTAGATTTAACGGGGGAAATTTTCCGCTAGATTTAGCGGAGAAAATTGACCGCTGAATTTAGCGGGACAATGTTCTGCTAGATTTAGCAGGAAAAACATTCAGCTAGATTTAGCTTAAAAATTTTCCGTTAGATTTAGCGGGGAAGCTTTTCCGCTAGACTTTGCGGCGCAAATTTTCTGATAAATCCAGCTGGGAAAATGTTCCGTAGATTTAGCGGGGGCGAAAGGAAGGATCGTAAGTTGGGCTGTCGATAGGAAGTTAGGGCGGGTGCTTTAGAAATAACTGTAGAGTCTTCGAGGTGGAAAGTGGTCTCCATTAGTTTGCCGAGCCTGGGTATGGAGGGATGGAGCGTAAAGATGAGGGGGTTTCGGAATGGTTGCTGCATACTGGAAGGGATCGTAAGTTGGGCTGTCGATAGGAAGTTAGGGCGGGTGCTTTAGAAATAACTGTAGAGTCTATGAGGTGGAAAGTGGTCTCCATTAGTTTGCCGAGCCTGGGTATGGAGGGATGGAACGTAAAGATGAGGGGGTTTCGGAATGGTTGCTGCATACTGGAAGGGATCGTAAGTTGGGCTGTCGATAGGAAGTTAGGGCGGGTGCTTTAGAAATAACTGTAGAGTCTATGAGGTGGAAAGTGGTCTCCATTAGTTTGCCGAGCCTGGGTATGGAGGGATGGAACCTAAAGATGAGGGGGTTTCGGAGTGGTTGCTGCATACTGGAAGGGATCGTAAGTTGGGCTTTGATAGGAAGTTAGGGTGGGTGCTTTAGAAATAACTGTAGAGTCAACGAGGTGGAAAGTGGTTTTCATGATCAGTTTGCCGAGCCTGGGTACGGAGGGATGGAACGTAAAGATTAGGGGGTTTCGGAGTTGTTGCTGCATACTGGAAGGGATCGTAAGTTGGGCTGACGATAGAAAGTTAGGGTGGGTGCTTTAGAACTAACTGTAGAGTCAACGAGGTGGAAAGTGGTTTTCATGATCAGTTTGCCGAGCCTGGGTACGGAGGGATGGAACGTAAAGATGAGGGGGTTTCGGAGTGGTTGCTGCATACTGGAAGGGATCGTAAGTTGGGCTGTCGATAGGAAGTTAGGGTGGGTGCTTTAGAAATAACTGTAGAGTCAACGAGGTGGAAAGTGGTTTTCATGATTAGTTTGCCGAGCCTGGGTACGGAGGGATGGAACATAAAGATGAGGGGGTTTCGGAGTGCTTGCTGCATACTGGAAGGGATCGTAAGTTGGGCTGTCGATAGGAACTTAGGGTGGGTGCTTTAGAAATAACTGTAGAGTCAACGAGGTGGGAAGTGGTTTTCATGATTAGTTTGCCGAGCCTGGGTATGGAGGGATGGAACGTAAAGATGAGGGGGTTTCGGAGTGGTTGCTGCATACTGGAAGGGATCGTAAGTTGTGCTTTAATAGGACGTTAGGGCGG